ACTTCTTTTCACTCCATTTTTGGCATTCCCAGAGGCGTTCAGGAAAAATGAACACCAGTTTGGTACTCCATGCACGTGACCCCACATCATGCAAAAAACCGTTTTCAAAAAGCGCTCCACGTCCTGAACGACCTCCCTAGTTAGCCCCCTGGTTGATATTTTCGTCGTGGGTTTCCTACCCGAATCCTACAGGGACTCACCTTTGCGAGCTGCCAAAATTCGTTTGCGAAGTCCCTTACGTCTATACCACAAATAGTAAGCGGTAGGCCGAGCGAGTGGCCAGCCGTTGAATTCGTTTACAATATCATCCAGCACCATGTATAGCTGCAAGCGATTCTGCCGTCATAATAATATTTGAGTGATAGTAGCTGCACGAATAGGACACCGCAGAGCTAGAGACATGTGTATTCCCTGACCTTTTTATCCTTCTTGTGCTTTTCTGCTATTGCTTTCTTTATCTCCGCCACGGTTTTGTCTCCACTTTTCAGGACTTTCAAGTTTTCCTGGAAGGCAGCTGGTAGTGCCGCAAACACTTTGACGATCTGCTGCTCAAGCTGTTTGAAGTTTGCATACTTGTCGGCTTTGAACTTCATCACCTGGTCCTGAAAAGATGAAACCTCCCTGATACTCATGTTACCGCGACAAACAGCTGGAGCTGTACGCACCGTACGATTGTACTTTTTCGCCCAAGCTGCTATTTTCTCCTGTTCCTGGGCGAGTGTGAGATTTCTGCCACGAACAATATCGTCATACTCTAGTCGACCTTCAGTGCTCACGCCCTTCAGAAATGGCAGACGATAGTTCTGTTGATAGAAAATGTATCTCGAGCTTTCGCTTCTGCCAGCAGTGACCGCAGCTCCTACGGCTACGAAAAGGATGAGAGCGGTTCTCATACTGTAAATGTCTGGATTTGGGTGAGAGTTGCAAGAGAACTTTCGGCAAAGAATGAAAGACAGTTCAACATGGAGTGTTGTCTGGAAAGAGTAATGATGGCAATTCAATTCGGAATTCAAGGGAAAAGTTGCGATGCAAACCGATCGTTCACCATGGACTTTATAGGGTTCCAGTAGTTTCAAAATGGAATATTCAATTACATTTATGCACATACTAATCGTCTTAGCCACAATCAGTCATGCCGTTGAGCAGTACAGAATTCATCTCGAAAACTGAGAAGACCATTACGCGCCTCGAAAACTCCATAATAATACTTTCCCTTGCTCTACTCGCATGAGGTAAAAGCGCTTATGAAAATTTCGGCTTCGGAATTCTTGAGAATTGAGCGCATTTCATCCTCACACCGCTCGCTACAAATGCCGCTACATGAGATATTTGCTCAGAGCTACTAGGTAGATGTCGAGACGGGTTGTTTCCTGCAAAAAGAAATAATTAAGAATTGCTTAAATTCTCGTAAACATTTGCACTTTTCGTTTCAGTGACATATAAAAGCCCAGATATTGTGCATAACTGTTTCCAGTGTTTCACAGTTTCTTCGATTACTACAGCCCTGTTTGCTGCAGGAAGGGGCATGTCAGTGAGGCGAGGTTTGGCGTGTCGCGAGCCCGTTCCCCGGGAAATGGGATAATCGGGTGAATGACAACACCTGGAGGACTGCACTGACTAACCATGTGATATAGATCTGTCGGTAGGCGATAGAGTAAAAATGGGATTGGCGCCTCTGCCAGTAGCCTCCCCACTTGGCACGCCCTGTCATCTGCGGCGAGCAGACCGCACATATGCAGCAAAGATCGGGCATGTGTGGTTTTTGACAAGAAATGCTGTGTTCTGTGTTTTCTTCGAAAGGAAACCCTGTGCTTAATCTTTGACCAGTTCCTTCTCACGGCAATTACCAAGTTTCCCTATGCTGGCTGGTGCATGCTGCGCTGCATGGGCGAAGGCAAGCGTGACAAGTGAGTGCCGTCTGCAGCAAAAGTAGTGGCTCATTGCAGCCATGAAAGCGCTACAAACAAATATCAGAAATTATCACAAGAATGCTGAGTTATGGGCAAAAGTCGTGCCCCAGGCGGGAGTCGAACCCGCACCTCACGCTTTCCGGGCGAGTGCGCTATCCGTTACGCCACCAGGGCCTATTTCACCCTCTCAGC